AATATATAAATAAATAAAAAAAAAAATCACTGCATTCTAATTTTTCAGATAGTCAGACATGTTCATTACACAAATTCTTTGTTACATACAAGTGAATTAAAATTTTCCCATAAGTCGAATTAGATGAACATCCTTTTATAAAGCATGACTGTACTTCTGATCATATCTAACCCTTTATCCTCTCACTAAAATCAATTTATTTTATTTATTTGTATAAAATTCAATAATCGACATGAAAATACGATCTGTTTAAAGTGAACTCGGAGAATAAAACCTCAAACGCCTCTCGTGAAACATTCGAATCACCTCCATTTGACAGGAAAAATCTCACAGTGCCCCTACTGATGTCAATATCTGCTGAGCTTAGCCTAAAATTAAAAGTAGAAAGATTGTTCATCTTTCTCAAATGTTCTCTGATGTACCTGTAATCAGCAGCATGAATATATATATGGAAGGCCCACCATTTTTTTTTTTTCTCTCATTAATTTGCCTTATTGATGATGACTTGCACAACACTAAGGGAGGGACAGTGAATGGAGGCTTGAATACCAAACCAATCACAAGCTAAAGTTCTCCAGTAATTAACAAATCAGTAGCAAAAGTCCCCAAATATTTAATTATATTGACAAATAATGTATATTAATTTATTATATCATTATAAAAACATGACATTCGGCTTCAAAAATTTGATCAGCACCAATGGACCGTCCAATCTTATAGAGTTTCTTTTCAACTTTCCTTTAATTATGTATGAATATATATATATAAATATATATTTTCTGTCTGACTTTACTTTGTCTTTAAGCAATTCACTTAAATGATGATGCCTCAAATTAAAGCTAAATAGGACAATAGTAAGGATCTGGTTTAGGCCCGCCTAAAGGTTAGGCAACCATATTTTTTCAGCCGATATGCATTACTTTCAAATTAAAATGTCATACTCTAAAAACAAAGTGAAATTTTCCTATCCTAATTTTGTATTCAATTTCCTGTTTCATTTCCTTGGATGTATACAGTGACGGATCTAGAAATTTTACTCAGGGAGCTCGATTTTAATTGTTAAATATCGATCCTTATATGCACAAAACACGGGTCTATCCTTCGATAATGTTCTATACGAGATGGATCAGTCATTTCATATAAAAATGTATTTACTATAAATATAAATATAGTACGTGTACCATCATGTTTTTAAAAACTTAGAATTTGTATCACCCTCGAACTTATTTTTTTTAAAAAAAAAAAAAAAGAAGAGAGAGATTTAATGTATTTATAATTTAAGTTCAACATCTATATTTATGAAAAAATAATTTTTTTTTTGTCGAAAATTTGATTTAAATTTGACTTCTGCACCACATTGCATAACATTTTTGTTAATGAGAGCTTATCAAATGAATATTTTTTAAAGAAAAAAAATATATAAATTTAAAAAATATGTGATTACACAAAAAAAAAGAGTAAAAAGTCAAAACTAAAAAATATAACAATCGAACTAAATACTTTGTTTTATAAATAACTAAATCGATTTATAATTAAGATACAGAAGAGTAAATCATTATAAATATTTTTAAAAGCTTATCCATATAAGGATTGCTAGTAAATTTTTCAATAAATAAATATTGCTAATTTAAATAAAAACAACATAGGAAATAAGTTTTAATTATTAATATATTGTAAATAATTTTTACATTTCTATACATATTTTATAATATTTTTTATATACATATTTTGATTTTTAATAAGTTTTAATTATTGATATATTACAATTTTTTTACACATTTCTATACATTTTATAGTATTATATATATATATATTATATATATATTGATTTTTTTTTCATAAAATCAGGGGGGCCCACAGGCCCCCTGTGCCCCATCTAGCTCCGCCTATGGATGTATAACACGTGTTCATGGTAATGTCATATTTCTACTCATGTCTCACATCCAACGAAATGATAAACGAGATGGATTATGAAATTGGAATAGGAGATCTGATCTGTTGAAAGAAATAGTGTAATCAAAAGATGAAATTCATAAGATAAGTATGCATTTTTGTTTAAAAGTATGACATGTCGATCTGTCTAATGATTAGGCCATCTCAAACAAGAATTTGCGATCGGACAAGACAAAGAGACACAAAGTAGAAATTTTTTAATTATTTAGTCACAAAGATTAAGGGAAAGGGGGAATGAATTGTTTGAGGGGTGTCATCTTTCCAAAAATGGAAATTATTAGCATAGGGATTAGGACAAAAGTTGTCTTTCTTAAAATTGTAACCCCATTTTCAAGTGTTAAATTATAATATATGTCACTTGAGCTCAAAAGATTTAAAAAGCCTCAACATGAAAGATCAAAGGAACCTATTGGTGGTGTTACTTTTCTTGTTTGATTGAAGAAAGCAAATAACTAATTAATATATTTGCCAATGCAACTATTGTCTGGGTAATTATTACACAACACTGTGTTCTTTTGAGGTACATAAAACACTTTCATTAAGCTATTCTTTTGTCTTTGTTTGTGAGTCACCTTTTTTTAATTGGTTACTGTCTTATCCTAATTAATTAGCTGAAGAAATGATAATTATCATTTTTTTTTTAAAATTAAAAAAATTTACATATTTGGCCCAAAGAATACAAAGAGATTGAAATACAGTACTGATTCAAATTTATTAGATTTTGAAACTGTAGGCCAACAAGAAAACAGGTAAATATGAAGTGGAAAAGCAGACATGAAAAAAGAAAGAACACAAGCAAAATAAAATGGGTATCAAGAAGAAGTAAAAACATGTTGTAAGCTTAATCCCTTGTGTTTGTGGACATTTTGTTTGCTCAATTCTGGTCTGAAAAAACAGGATGACTAAAGCTGCTTTTTTTTCTTTCTATTTTTTTTTGATTAGTAATATAATAATATCCTACATATATGCAATATGTGCAACCCTTATCTCAAAGACTGGTCTCTGCGGGTGGATTCGTGATTCCTCAAGAGCTTGTCTAGTTTTTTGGTCATCTTATTTGTCGGGCTCCTTTTCCCTTTTACTAGCGGAAGCTTTAGCCTTTCGGTTTGGGTTGCGCGTCGCGACGGATTTGGGCTTATTGGATTCCATGGGAGTTGTCAGTGGTGTCTCTCTTCATCATGAGCTTGACCTTCTGTTCGGAGTGTTCGCTGACATTGTAGGACTCTTGTTTCTTTGGAGTGATTCCCTCCCTATTTGGTTCTCTTCCTTTCTATCGGATGTACCGGATTAGTGTCCTCTTTTGTTTTAGTTTGTTTTGATTTAAGTACCAAAAAAAAAAAAGAAAAAAATGGAAAAAATGGATTTACCTAGATAAAATTTGAAGGTAATTATTAGGTAAAAAGAAAAAAGAAAAAGGTGAAAAAAAATTGTGAAACTCCTCTACCCTTTTTCATGCAATTGAGCCCCAATTTGCTAAACACCTTTTTGCACCTATAAATTGACACCCTCCCCTTTCACTCCTCTTTCATGCAAATTCTCTCCTTTCTTCATTTCCCTTCTTGATTTCTCAACCTATATCACTCTCCACAAAATCCACCATTCAAAACATAAATAAATAAATAAATAAAAACACCCCCTCACCCCCCAAAAAACAAAAATTATTTAATACATAAAAACACAAATCCCATTTTCATCATATAAACCTAAAAAAAAAAAAAATTACTTGAAAACCCCCTAACATACCCTGTTCACAATCCCCTGTTTTTCCCCCCCAACACACACCAACATAAAAACATGTCAACCACCTCATTAACTCTATGCCAAACCCAAGCACAAACCCAAACCCAAACCCTAAAGTGCTGTTTGGATCCCCTTCTCTTTGAACCCCGCGATTCGCTCCACCCGCTAACCCCACCCAAACACGCCCTATCCTTCATCTTCCCTCGACAACCATCCGAAACCGACAACAAGGGCTTGGAAAAAAACACCGAGCAAATCTACGTTCACCCTCTCGTCAGGCGCTCGTCCTCCTCTCTAAGCACCAAGTCTCTCGAAATGTGTACCGAGAGCTTGGGTAGCGAGACTGGGAACGACATCATCTCGGATTTCGACGAGTTTTCCCGCCATTATGCATTCGAAAAACCGAGCCTTCATCCGGCCAAAAAAAATCGAGACTTTGCCATGAAAACGAAACGGTCCATTGATTTTCCTCCGCCGTTGACTTCCATTAGCGGCGACGAAAATGTTCAAGTGCGCGCACACCGAGAAAATGGTCGTCTCGTGATCAAGGCTTTCAATTTCTCGTCGGCTCGGAATCTTTTCCGAGCCGAGCGCGAAAACGGGAGGCTTAGGCTCTCTTTGCTTAGGGGGGGCCATGAGGCGGACGAATCTGTTGAGAAAGAAGAAGAAGAACAACAACAAAACGGAGAGGAGGACAATGCCGAAAACGACACTTTTGACGGTGGCGACGAGGGAGAGTTCGAAGGCCGTTGTTGGGGCAAAAATGGCGGGAAAATCGGGTGCAAGATCAACGGTGGAGATTGGCCGAGCTTGCCGTTTCGCTTCGCGATTTCTTCGTGATTTCATCTATGCTTTTTTTCCCCCTCTATGAATATGGTAGTTATTATGGTTGAAAGTTACTACTTAGTAGTGTGGTTGAAGAATGTTAAGCAAGATTTTTATTTTATTTTTATTTTTTTCTACCTTCAATGGTAGTTATTATGGTTGCTAAGCATTATGGTGTCAAGTGTTGTGGTTAACTTGATTAACTTCTTATGTTTTAAGTTGTATTATTTTAATGATTTCTTTTTTTTTTTGTAATTAAATTATGGTTTTAGAGTGATTATGTATGAATGTATGTGCATTATATTGGAAAAAAAAAAAAAAAAAAAAGAGTTTTGGTAAATGAGAATGACTGAATAAAATAACCAATTTTGTAAAAGTTGGTAAAAGAATAGCCAACTGCCCACAAAAAAAAGGTTGTTAGCAGGAAACAATAACACAAGTTGATGATGATTTTCAGTGAATTATTCAAAAGGTGTCATCACTGTCATGGGGGTCACATTCAGACCACCAATATATATATACATGCTTCAAATAAAAAACTTTTTTTTTTCTTTATTATTAATTATTATTATTTTCATTTTATAATTATTTTGTCTCATGATCCAAATCATTAAAATATGTACTGTAAAAAAAAAAAAAAAGATCACCTGTTGGAATATCACTTGTGAGTGTCCCACATTGATTCTATAGGGAAAATGAGTCTAGTATATAAGCCTAGTGGGCTACTCCTCCTATCACCAATTGGTTTTGGGATGGAA